GTGCTTGTGTTAGGAAGTTGTAGTTTGTTTACTTACTTTTGGTTGGAAATTACAAGTATGTCCCAATAGTTTATGATACACTTATAAAAAAAAATATCAATTCACTGATTGACATTCCGTCACAATTCAGTCTTTGTTGCAATATAATTACCATACTTTATTTAAAGTTTTCTACTATCTTTTAGCTGTACACCTGTAACACCTACTTATTGAATAAACTGTTATCATCACAGATCTCCTTTCCTGGAATCTCAAATATTATCCTCATAAATAAATATATTCTCAGAATAGGCACTGACGTGAATGCGTTTTCTCAAGTATGATTACGATTTTCCAGAAGCAGCTTGATGAAGATCTAATACCTACTATGAGAGTATAACGTCACCGATTGCTATTACTTGAGTTAGTGTAAACAAGCAGTATCGCCCAATTCTTTCAAGACAGCTTAATTGATTGGATGACGTCATATACAGACACAGCTGAATGAAGGAACACACTACATGCAAACACAAACAATTTATTTCTATCCGATTTCAACAAAAAGGATGTTCTCAATTCGTTGGTGTGTTTTTATTTACTTAAATTTAACAATGGAACGCTCTTGTTGGAAGCCATTGGAACTGGCTATTGTTGAATTATGCAGTTTATAATCCAAATTACAGTAAAAATAAACTTTTAAAAATTTTCATTGTCAAGGATTTTGTCCTTATATCGTGTAAACAGGTTAGTACATGTAAATTCACAAAATGGTTTAATTTCAATATTTAAAAAAAATTACAGGATTAAATCTATAGAATAGAAATATTATAATACTTGGCTACAGTCCGCGTCAAATAGTTCGCGAGCTTACCTTTTCTATATTAAGTGTCGCGAACTATTTGACACTGACTGTACACTTAACGACTGAGTGGAATCGATAAACAGTTCTCAATATCATTTTCTTTAATTTCACAAAACATTCCAACCGTTACTACCATATATGTATTGCCCTAACACGATAAATAACTGAGATAAGTGATCTATGACGGGCCACTGAGACGTAATTCGTGCCCAACAATATCGAAAATCCCAGGTCCCACAGGCCCATCAAGAAGGGATATGTAAGGAAACGTCTTAAACCAAATGAAAGCAGACAGCTGTCGGATTACGCTGCAAAATTGTTTTGATTAATGAACAAAAATTATAACATATCATCCTGCATGCTGTCGTACACGATAGGAAGTATGTCCTGCACGTACTCATAAATTTTATTGTTTTGACTCGCATATAGTAAGGCACTCGTCTCGTTTACAATGACGGCGAAAATTGGATGCTTGTCTAAAATTGAGTCTGCTCTAGATGTGCCATTTGCGAATGCAAAATAATTTTTTTTACCACCCATGACTTGCAACAGCATCCTTTATAATGTCTGGTGCCCTCATAATCTGTACAGTAGGATTTGCTGGTAGACCTATAATGCTCATTACAGTACCGTCTACATCAAGTCTAACATAGACGTGTTTCTTACTATCCACGAAGTACAAATTATTAGCCGAGTCCAACACAATTTGTTGGGCATCCTTTACATTGGTTATCTCTTCCTTTTTAGTGCCATCCTCAGTGACTTTGTATACAACATTATCTGTTGTTAGAATGTACAAATCATTGGTGCCCCAATACTTAGCGACGGCAACAGTGTTGTCAGTCAATGTTCCGTATTTTTCAGCTTTTTTCTCTTGGTTGTTGAAGCTGTAGATGCCATCGGAAGCTGCGAAGTATAATTGTGTGTTGTTTATGTCATAGGTCGTGGAGATGTCGTTACCATTCTCGAGCAGATTAGTTATTTGTTTGTTCTTCAAGACAAAGAGGCCTTTTCCTTCTTCGATGAAGAAGACATGGATTTTTTCGTAAGCGGAGGTCGCTTCACCGTCTTTAAACGGTTCTCTTATGAATATGACGACTAATTTGGTGAAATCTTTCTCCCCGGTGTAAGTGACGGATTCCTCTGAGAATAAGTTGGTGGACGCCAACCCGATCAGAAGAAAGTGTCGTAAAGGTGGCCAAGGTATTCATGGTGTCTGAAAAAGAATGAGTGAGTGAGCTGAATTGTGTTTTTTTAATAAATTGGTGTGCTGGTAAGTAGAATATTGAGTATCGTAAGGTAGGTATATTAACTTTGATATTGTAGGGCAAGCTATATTTGGGACGTGTATAAGTGCCCTAGAAGGAGGAGTACATAGGACTGAATAAATTATTTGAATTTGATAACAGCTTCTTTATGCTACCGCAAAGTAAAACTAAATCAATATTCCATCTGCCCTTTGGTGTAGTGGTTTGAAACAGACTACTATGCCGAGAGGTCCCCTGTTCGATTCCCAACCGGACAGAAATTGAAATGAATACGAGTATACAGGATGACTGGCAATTAGTGGCGGAGCCGTTAAGGGGAGGTGGTCTAGGGTTATTCTGACAGATATCACCATGAGACCTACCGTCCTTATTTAACCCTTTAATTGCATTGTATTACTACTATTTCAGCTATTCTACAAATCGAATTTAAATTGATTAGTCTACGTCAATTAGTTTCGACGTTATTGTTCTATGATCTATGGATCTCTTCGTAAAACAATACAGGGCAGATATGCACCATCCTAGACTGCATCTTACTTAACACCAGGTACGATTGCGGTCAAATACCTACGTTGCCCTGCATAAAAAATCCCTTTACAGCCGTCAGACAGTTATAGATTTTTACATAAATAAATAATATCAATCGACTCACCTCTCCGAGATATCTCACCAGAATGATTTACCTACTAATTAAGACTCGAATTAACGTGTTTATACTTTTGTATAAACGTTATCGAGTTAACACTTAACGTCTTTGTATCTAAAGTCCTGACCTTAGGTATACATATTTAGCAAATAAATAGATTACAATATTTTTCCTGTGTGTTTTTCGAGTCCTATCTACCAACACTAATAAAATTAAAAGAGAAAATATTGATTGTTTGTTTCTTTGTTTGTATTGAATTTGCTCTGAAACTACTGGATCGATTTTGAAAATTCTTTCACCATTAGAATCCTACATCATAGAATATTATTACGGCCACATGAGATCTGATCATTAACAGCCCTTTACAGTCCACTGCTTTACTATGAGCCTCCTCTATTATATTGGAGGGTTTTACCATAATCCCCACGCTTGGCAAGCGGGTTGGAGAATCGCAGTTTAAAAGATTGGTGTTTTTCAGAGAATGCTGCTGCCCGTTCTCTGTTTGATGTGTAGTCCCTAAGTCGCCTCTTACGACTAAGATATATCAAACGAACGGCGCGGTTGCGTTATTTGCTCGTGCCCGCACGGTCATATCACATCAATACAAAATGGACATATGGATTTTAGGTGTGCTGTAATGGGTTCATCAGAACATAGAATTAAGTCAGATAATAGCTTGAACGAAGTTCTATCGCGTACTTTGTTGATGGATAGTAAAAAATTTAGACCCAAGTGTGTCTAAATAGACACAGTACCTATATACGAGTACCTACTCTTCGTGGCTCTACGTATCAATAATATCTTACAACTTTCGACAACAAACGGTTGCGAAACTTAAGGAAGCACACATCAACCTGGGAACGGATCGTAGCCGTATCAACTCGAGGAGGACATTTTCTTGTATGAAACTTCGTACAGCAACGCATAGGTACTTACCCGCACCGTAACGTAAACGCCTCACCTCACGGCGAAAGGCGATATGGTGTTGAGGTTGATAAAGTGTGCCTTTAGTTACAACCATTTATTACAATTTTTTAATGGGATTTTATCGGTTTTATCAGTTCAAATCCGAACATAGATTTCGCTCTAAAATAACAAATAGAAATGGCATATTTAAAGCAGTAGCAGAAATATTCTGTCCATTAAACTCGTTAGCGGAACATCCGAGAATTGTTTTAAACTGCGCAACTACGAATTTCACTAGTTTTCCATACAGAATTATTATGCGTTGTCGACAAAAACACTGGTGCACAAAAATTACATTTATTACGGATTATTATTAACTAGCGGCCGCCCGCGACTTCGTACGCGTGAATCCCGTTTTTCCCGCTAATTCCCGTTCCCGTGGGAATTCCGGAAATTCCTTTCTTAGTGCACCTCTACGGTACCTAAGCTATGTCCCTTCCAAATTTCAAGTGCCTACGTTTAGCCGTTTAGGCTGTGCGTTGATCTGTCAGTCAGTCAGTCAGTTTCTCCTTTTATATATTTAGATTACCAATTTTTATAAGAAAGTTAACGTTTTCAAATAAATTTTTACTAAGCCTAGGTTACACCATCTAGGCTTTAACTAACAAACGTCAAGTCTGTCAAACTTCATACAAAAAACACCGGCTATCGTTACAGTTACGGTTAAAGTTAGGTATTGCAACTAAAACTGAGAAGTGGTTAATATTAACGGAAAAACTTTTTTGTAGAAGCTTATCTAACCACTCACAGCACCAGTCCCTTTCACTAGGTATGGAAAGGGCCTATGAAGTGTTATTACCTCTACTTCCACCTGTTATCACGCTATAAAAGAGGTACGATATGAGAGCGTTGCTCTTGATTATGGAGCATTACTCTATCTATATTTATAGGGGAACCTGTTGTACTTAGGNCACTGTGATTCGTAAGATTTAGGTTAAAGATACATAGGTATAATTAATTTTTTTAATTATTTTTTAAATAATTCTTAGTAAAATTTTCTTTGTAAATCATCTATTAATACCTTATTCCTTTACATTTCGGCAAACAACACCGCCTAACTCTACAAAAATATCAGTCAACACCGCTCAAATCATAAAATATAGGTTAAAATAAAGTAAATCGTCAAATTAAGTATAAATAATTATTTTTTAACTGCTAAATAAAGTATTTAATAAGTAACAATAGGAAAAATCCACCGATTTTTTTAAATAAACAGTTTTTTTCGTCTCCTGAAAAGTTGCTAAAAATGACTTACGCGGTGTTGTTAGCTAAGGGACGATTATTTTGCGAATGCAAAATATTTTTTTTTACCACCCATTACTGCAACAGCATCCTTTATAATGTCTGGTGCCCTCATAATCTGCATATTAGGATTTGTTGGTAGACCTATAATGCTCTTTACAGTACCGTTTACGTCAAGTCTAACATAGACGTGTTTCTTACTATCCACGAAGTACAAATTATTAGCCGAGTCCAATACAATTTGTTGGGCATCCTTTACATTGGTTATCTCTTCCTTTTTAGTGCCATCCTCAGTGACTTTGTATACAACATTATCTGTTGTTAGAATGTATAAATCATTGGTGCCCCAATACTTAGCGACGGCAACAGTGTTGTCAGTCAATGTTCCGTATTTTTCAGCTTTGTTCTCTTGGTTGTTGAAGCTGTAGATGCCATCGGAAGCTGCGAAGTATAATTGTGTGTTGTTTATGTCATAGGTCGTGGAGATGTCGTTACCATTGTCGAGCAGCTTGGTTGTTTGTTTGTTTTTCAAGACAAAGAGGCCTTTTCCTTCTTCGATGAAGAAAACATGGATTTTTTCGTAAGCGGAGGTCGCTTCACCGTCTTTAAACGGTTCTCTTATGAATATGACGACTAATTTGGTGATATCTTTCTCCCCGGTGTAAGTAACGGATTCCTCTGAGAATAAGTTGGTGGACGGCCAACCCGATCAGAAGAAGTGTCGTAAAGGTGGCCAAGGTATTCATAGTGCCTGAAAAAGAATGAGTGAGTGAGATGAATTGTGTTTTTTAATAAATTGGTGTGCTGGTGAGTAGAATATTGATTGACGTAAGGTATATCAACATTGATAAAAGCTTCTTTAAGCTACCGCAAAGTAAAACTAAATCGATATTCCGTCGGCCGTTTAGTGTGGTGGTTCGAAACAGACTACTATGCCGAGGGGTCCCGTGTTCGTTTCCCAACCGGACAAAAATTGAAATGAATATGAGTATATTATTATAATAGCTGACAAAATTATTTATTATTAGAAGTAGAAAACAAACACAAGCCCCATATATTTTAAGAGAGTAAGAATGGATTTCATTAAAAAACATGACGTTTTCACTTCATTTTCAGTTATTTTAAAATACGAGAAAAAACAGTTAGTTAAGGTATGTTATAATTGCATTGTGTTACTACTATTTGAGCTATTCTACAAAACGAATTTAAATTGATTAGTCTACGTCAATTAGTTCCGATGTTATTGTTTTACGAAGCGGATTATGGACTAGACTGCATCTTACTTAACACCATGTACGATTGCGGTCAAATATCTGCGTTGTCCTGCATAAAAAAAACCTTTACAGCCGTCACACAGTTATAGATTTTTACATAAATAATAATATCAATCGACTCACCTCTCCGAGATATCTCACTAGAATGAGTTACCTACTAATTAAGACTCGAATTAACGTGTTTATACTTAGGTATGTATAAACGTTATCGAGTTAACACTAAGGCTGAGTTGCACCATCTTATTTTAACTTTAACAAACGTCAGAAATCGGTCAAACTCTATACAAAAAACATCGGTTATTGTCATAGTTACGGTAAAAGTAAGACGGTACAACTCAGCCTTAACGTCTTTGTATCTAAAGTCCTGACCTTATACATACTTAGCAAATAAATAGATTACGATATTTTTGCTGTGTGTCTTTTAGAGTTGAATATTCTAGAAATAACTTTTACCTATCTACCTACACTAATAAAATTTAAAGAGAAAAGATTGATTGTTTGTTTCTTTGTATTGAATTTGCTCCGAAGCTACTAGATCCATTTTGAAAATTCTTTCACCAGTAGAATCGTACATCATAGAATATTATTACGGCCACATGAGATCTGATACTTAACTCTATTATATTTTATTTACTCTATTATATTGGAGGGTTATGCCATAATCCCCACGCTTGGCAGGCGGGTTGGAGAATCGCAGTTTAAAAGATTGGTGTTTTTCAGAGAGCGCTGCTGCCCGTTCTCTGTTTGATGTGTAGTCCCTTAGTCGCCTCTTACGACTTAGACCATTCTTGGTAAGATATATCAAACGAACGGCGCGATTTGCGTTATTTGCTCAAGCCCGCACGGTCAGATCGCATCAATACAAAATGGATAAATGGATTCTAGGTGCGCTGTCATCAGAACATAGAATTAAGTCAAATAATACGGATAAATTTGTATTTGCTTGAATGAAGTTCTATCGCGTACTTTGTTGATGGAAAGTAAAAAGTATTTAGGTAGGCCCAAGTGTCTCTAAATAGACACAGTACCTACCTACTCTACGTGACTCTATCAATAATATCTTACAACTTTCGACAACAAACGGTTGCGAAACTTAAGGAAGCACACATCAACCTGGGAACGGATCGTAGCCGTATCAACTCGAGGAGGTCACTTTCTTGTATGAAACTTCGTACTGCAAGTTACTGCAACGCATACTTATCCGCACCGTAACGTAAACGCCTCACCTCACGACGAAACTTACGAAACGGGACTATTCCCACCTTTCGTTCCCACCACTGCAACTCCTGTGTAGCCAGGANTAAACGTGAAATACCACTCATTGATTCATCACGTCCACCCAAGGTGGACCGACGACTTCATGAAGGTAGCAGGAAGGCGCTGGATGCAGGCCGCTACCAACCAGCCTCTGTGAAAGTCATTGGCGGAATCCTATGTTCAGCAGTGGACGTCCTAAGGCTGAAATAATGATGATGATGATGATTAATCTCAGAAACTATAATACCTAAAAACTTGAAATTTGGCAGGTAGATTCCTTATAGGGTGTAGACATCCGCTAAAAATGGATTTTACGAAACTCTCTCTTAAAAGGGTAAAAAAGGGATTGGAAGTTTGTATGTTTCACGCGAGCGATGCCGTGAGCAAAAGCTTGTCATTATAAAATTTTATCTTTTAGCCATAACACAAACATGTTTACTCGTATTCTTCTATCTTACTCACCTACTCGACTAAAGTTCCACGTGTAGTCACAACATTGTCCTATTACACTATCCAGTAAAAAAAGTTTGAAATAGTTTTCTAAAAATATAACCCTTTGTCGGTTTTATCATGTAAAGGAGCTGAATAAAATAGGTTGCGAGAGGAATTTACGAGGCGAATTCAAATGCCATGAAAGAGGAAACGTGAAGGAAAACATTCCTACGAACGTTCAATAAAAGAACAAGATATTGTTATTTAAACTTTTGTTGTTCATCGTTAGCTTGCTCGGGGAAATTAGAAATTAGATGGTGTGTGGTAAACAATTGGTTCTTTGATCCTTTATTTGATAGATAAATATTTTCAACAAAGATAAAAGGTAAAATGATGTTTTAAGGGTCTGAGACTCGATTACATGAAAGGGTATATGGAATTTTGTTTAGATTAGGCCTGCGCACACCGTTGATTTTTAGTTAGCCGATAGTTGTGCCCGATTTTAGATTGTATGAAGAATTTATTGGATTATAAATTTTTTGGATTACAATCTAGATTAAAACTGTATTTACTGTTGGTTGTAATGTAAATGTATCTTGTTGATTGTACTCTGTATGTGTTTTTTGTACAAATAAAATAAAATAAATCGGCCAAATCGAATCGGCGTAGTATGCGCACTCCCATACATGCCCACACTGATCAACTGCCCGACTAAACTATCGGCCGACGAAAAATCAACGGTGTGCGCCTACTCTTACTGAACACTCTTGAAAATACTTAAAAGGCCCAATGATTATGATTTATAGCCAGATCATTCGATGTTTGGTTGACAAAAAAATAGGGCTTAAACCCGACACCGTATGCTACACAGCGTCATATTGTGTGACATATTAACGGCTTTTTGAACCTCAAATAGCAATTGGAAAGTCAAGTAGGGGTTTTGAAAAATATACAGCTGGCTCTGCGAAATATTATGCCTCTTAATAGAAAACTCTACAAAATACTCAACGATTACCTAAACGTGTATTCTTAACATAGTCATGTTTTATTTTGCTGGTAATTTTCAAACCAAACACTATTGGGCTGATCATGTAGCTGACAAGTAAGTTTTTCCTTAACTATCTCAAATGTAGCTGAAAGTTGCTATCACATCCAACTCTTTTGATTAAATGAAACCTTGAATCAATAAAATCTATCATAGACTAAGATTTCTCATATACAGATATTCCTAATAAAATGCACACATATAAACCTGTTGGTTTGATGAAAATTCGAAGCTAAGATCTCAAAGCCTATGCCTAGTATAATCACGTTTAAAAATAGACAGCCCACTAAACAGCCGGTCAGCTGCCAGCGATCACGTTGCTTGTAATCATACCCTTCATTTCTGATGAGTGTTTATTTGTTAGTATTACCCCACNAATATATTACTCGAAACTTACGAAAGGCGATACAAAGTGTGCTATGACCTTTAGTTACAACCATTTATTACAATGTTTTAATGGGATCTTATCGGTTTTATCGGTTCAAATCTGAACATAGATTTCGCTCTAAAATAACAAATGGAAATTGCAATATTTAAAGCAGTAGTAGAAATATTCTGTCCATTAAACTCGTTAGCGGAACATCCCAGAATTGTTTTAAACTGCGCAACTACGAATTTCACTAGTTTTCCATACAGAATTATTAAGCGTTGTCGACAAAAACACTGGTGCACAAAAATGACATTTATTACGGATTATTATTAATTACTATTATTAACCATTTTTTTGTCTATAAGTATATGAAAGTTAACGTTTTCAAATAAACGTTTACTAAGCCTAGGTTACACAATCTAGTTTAACTAACAAACGTAGTCTGTCAACCTTCATACAAAAAACACCGGCTATCGTTACAGTTACGGTTAAAGTTAGGTGGTACCTACAACTTAAACTGAGAACTTCTTTGTAGAATCTTATCTAACCACTCACAGCACCAGTCCCTTTCACTAGGTATGGAAAGGGCCTATGAAGTGTTATTACCTCTATTTCCACCTGTTATCACGCTATAAAATTATCACTTCACGGGATTTATTGCAACAATATCTATTTTAACGGTAAATAATATTTACCCTCCCGACGTTGATAATTTTATATAAAAATGCAACATAATAGTTTAAAATGTTATCACGCTATAAAAGAGGTACGTTATGAGAGCGTTGCTCTTGATTATGAAGCATTACCTATATATTTATAAACGCGAAATACCACTTCTCATTGATTAATCACGTCCACCCAAGGTGGACCGACGACTTCATGAAGGTAGCAGGAAGGCGCTGGATGCAGGTCGCTACCAACCAGCCTCTGTGGAAGTCATTGGCGGAGGCCTATGTTCAGCAGTGGACGTCCTAAGGCTGAAAATAAATGATGATGATGATGATGATTAATCACGAAATCTCAGAAAATATAATACCTACAAACTTGAAATTTGGCAGGTAGATTCCTTATAGGGTGTAACTGTAAAGCCTGGTCCGTGAGCACGTAGAATTTTGTCCAATGACCCCAAGCTACCCATCCTTATCGCTCGCGCGTAATTATGTTGCTGTCGCACTCGCACACTCACTGCGGGCGCCCGTCGCACAGTCTCGACAGCAATATAATTACGCGCGAGCGATAAGGATGGGTAGCTTGGGGTCATTGGACAAAATTCTACGCGCTCACGGACCAGGCTTTAGACATCCGCTAAAAATGGATTTTAC